GGGGAGGAGAATAGAGCAGAAGCGAGGACAGGGGAGGTAGAGAAGAGGAAAGCTGAGATCTTTTTCTACTCTGACAGATTGCTTCTGTAACATCATTGAATATTGAAACAGGTATCTCGCCGGAGATAACAGCCGGAGTCTTCTTTTTTTGGCGAATTTGAGGTTGGTGAAGGGCGATGACTGATGAGTGATGCGATTAATCTTGTGGCTATAAGTAATTTATTATCACAAGTTAATCGGAGGAGGAAATATAAGAGATGGATAGAACCAGAGAAGCGAGGAGAGTCACCATGGCCGCCGCCACCACCACGAATGGGGGCCTTCCAAGGAGGAGACACAGGAGCAGCTCTCTCAGAGATTCACCAGGTCTGAAATCAGATCTGCTCCTTTCCGTTAACACTTGGTAGCTGAAGGCCGTTGTTTTTGGCCAATTCTGATGCCTCTTTTTTCTTTTGGTGATTTGTTTTGTTTTGTTTTGACGCAGAGGACGACGGTCCGGTGGAGTTACAAGAAACGGTTAGGCTAAGAGATCGAGGGAGCGGGAAGAAAGATCGAGATCGAGAACGAGAAAGGGAACGGGACAGAGAGCGGGAAAGGGAAAGGGAGAGGGACAGAGACAGAGAACGGGACAGGGATCGGTTGAGCAGAACCAGCAAGAGGCGGAGAGGGGATAGATTGATAAGCAACAGAGAAGACGGTGTCGAAGACAGTTCGGAGGAGAGCGTTAACGACGATGAGGAAGACGATGACGATGATGGAGGTGGCGGTGGATCTTCCGTTAGGATGCTTCCCCCGAACGCCGGGCCACTGTCATCTTCGTCCTTGAATCACCACCATCATCAACAGCCACATCATCATCGGAAGAGCTTTCCACAACCGGCGAAAGTTTTTAAAGCAACGCCGCCTGCGATGACATCAACATGGAAAGCCGCGGATGAGATGATTGGGGTGTCGGTTCCTAGAAAAGCTCGGTCAGGTAGAGAGGTGGAAGGATTATGTTTGATGAATGAAATTATCATTTTTGTACTAATTTGTTCTTCTCATCAACTAACTTGAGATTTTTGATTTCCTCAGCCTCAACAAAGAGGTCTCACGAATGCTGGTCATCAAGTGCTGCGGGTGTTATAGGCGGAGAGCAAGTTCACCGGCAAGCTTCAACATCACCTGTGAGACCAGGCGTCCATGGGATGTTGGCGTCTCCACCTCCGGCTCCGGCATCACCGTCTTCTTCCAATGCTTCAGTCAGGAAGAAGATGGTCAGTTCTATGGATTTCCTCGATTCGTGTTTGTTTTCTGTTCTAAGGTGTTGCTTCAATTGAGTAACGAGTTTGTTTTTTGTTGTAGAAGCCTAATAATGGACCAAAACATAGGCCACCAAAGACGGCTTCAAAGTCACCTCCTTCTGCCCAAGATGAGATTGAAATTGAAATTGCAGAGGTTTTGTATGAGATGGGGCGGCCTCAGGGTCCGTCTAAGCAGGATGCAATTGGGGGTGATTCGATTAAGTTTGAATCAAGAGAAGTGAATAAACCCAGCGGTGATGCTAAATCCAGTGTCTCTTCCCCGATCTCCAACTCAGCCTCTGCTGTTCCTCAGTCCTCTTCCATTTTGCCTTCTAATTCTAATTCATCTGCTACGCCCATGTCTGCTACTGGTTAGTAACCAGAGCCTTTTGAAATTGAAAGTCCTATTTTGGCTTTACAAGAAAATTTGTCGTCGGAAAATCAGAATTAGGTTTTCCGACTTAAAAAGTGTTGTTTTTGCTTGACTTGTGCTCTTACGGCAGCCGGATGGAGCTCACAGTTTTCTTTTCCATCTTACTAATAAATTCATTGTCGGTTAATTTTGTAGCTCCAAAGAGGAAAAGACCAAGACCAGTCAAGTACGAGGATGAAAATCCTTCCATTTGCCCTGTTAGAAACGGTTCCATTTCATCTACCGCAAAGGTCGAAATTGATCAGCCTGCAAAAATTGAAGCAACTTCTCCCACCTTGGAGAAGAAACCAGGATCCGTAGCTGAAAATGGTGGAAATTCTTACGATTTGATGAATTCACAAACTGCACCGGCTTCATCGGAGCCGCATGCGGAGCCGGGTAAGGCAGAAAACAGCGTGGTACCAGATTCTAAGCCTTTGACAGAAGAATTAAAAAGTAGAGATGTATCTGTCTCTAAAAAAGATGAGTCTCGATCACCCAAGAAGGAATCTTTACCTCCTGCTAATCTTCCCACTGGGCTCAGATTGGATGATGAGCGTGAGAAAGTGACAGTGACGAAGGCGTGAGTATCAATCGCCTTCCTTTTTCAGTTTTTTTGGGGGTCTGGTATCCTCTGGTGATGACGATTCTGAGATTGCGCTTGGTTGTTTCTTGGTTTTTCAGGAAATCATCGGTTTGTGAAAGTGAGAGCCAGCGGGAAGAGAAGTTCCAGATAGATCTGATGGTGAGGACCTTGCTTTTGCTTTGAAGTTTATTCCTTTCTCCTCCCTTGATCACCTTTTTGAGGTTTTAATTTTTCTTCCCTTCCAGGCTCCTCCCCCGTCCAGATCATCACCGGAAAGGGACGGTGAGTTTGATTTTGTTGCTGCAGATCCAAAACCAATGGCCACAAACGTTGGAACGGTGAGTGACGCAAAGGACTTCTGTGTCACCACGATTAGGTAAATCCAGTTAGAAATTAATATCTTTCAATCTTATTTTTGTCCTATGCAGGAAATGAAGCCTGCCCTCAAGGAAGATGATAAGGGAGTAAAAACTAGCAAGGAGGAAACGAATGCAGAAGGAGAAGATAGAAAGAGAGCTAAAATAATAGCCGAAGAAGCTGAATCCCAGAAGCCAGCAGTCAACCGAGATAGGGCTATAGATCTCCAGCTAGACTTGGAGAAGTCTGATAGAGATGGTTCTGGAGCTGGCCTACATGCCAACAAGCTAAGCCAGCATGTTCAAAAGCAGCAGCATCAACAACCAAGTACAGAGAAAGCTGGTAATAAATCTATGTCTCTTTTTCCTGAATTTCAGTCTTCTCTCTCCCTCATCCATCCCTTCTCTGGGAAAGCTTTTCCCTCAGAAATTTTGAGCCTAGGGCTGTTGATCTGAAGGCTTTTCTATCTTCATTTGCAGCACAAGCTGGTTCCTTACCTTTGCCTATGTCTATGCCTGGCTGGCCAGGAGCTCTTCCTCCAATGGGGTATGAAATAATGCTGTTATTTGTTATTTATTTATTTATTTATCTATTTTGTGGGGGTGGGGGGTTATTAGTAATTTTCTGGTGACTTGGATGTTCACCTATGTGGAAATGACTTTTCTTTTTCTTTTTTTTTTTTCTTTTTTGAGCAGATACATGACACCTCTACAAGGAGTTGTATCCATGGATGGAAGCACCGTACCTTCAGCGGCCATTCAGGTATGTCGCTTGTTTTCTCATGTTTTCTTAGCTTTTATCATTATTATTATTATTATTATTATTATTATTATGTGTTTGAATTTATGACTAAACTGTGGACTTTTGCAGCCTCCACATTGGCTTTTTACTCAACCAAGGCCAAAGAGATGTGCAACCCACTGCTACATTGCTCGGAGCATACACTATCACCAGCAAGTTATGAAGATGAATACTTTCTGGCCAGCTGCTGCTGGTTCAGCTTCAATCTTTGGGGCTAAGGCCTGCAATCTTAATGTTGTACCCTCGGAATTAAATGGGAACATTCCTGGTAGGGGCTTGAATCCTATACAGGACAAAGGTCAGGGTCTTGCTATGTTTCCAGGTCATGTTGGCAAAGATAAAGGTTCCCAAGCTGCCAACATGGTGGATGCACAAAGAAAGCAAATTCTACTCCAGCCGCCAGGAGCACCTAGTAATCTCTTGGTATGCTTTCTCTCCTTTTCATCTCACTTTCCACCTCTCAAAAAATTCAGCTTCTGATGACTGCAGAAGTGCTTCTGTTGCTTTCTTCTTGTCGTTGTTGTTGTTCTTCTTCTTCTTCTTCTTCTTCATTCTTCTTTTGTTTTTTTGTTTTTTTTTTTGAAAAAGAGTTTGTTTTCTGGTGATTTCAATTTCAGCCTGCCTCTGCTTTTATATTCCCTTTGAGCCAGCAAGTTGCTGCTGCTGCTGCTGTTGCTTCTGTTCGACCCAGTTCAGTGAAATCTCCTCCAGTCACTGCTAGCACAGCTTTTTCAACCATGTCCAACCCTGCCTCAGTGACTGCCACACCAACGGGTCCTGCTGCCGGCCCTGCAATTAGCTTCAACTATCCAAATATACCAGGAAGTGAAACTCAATACTTGGCAATCTTACCGAACAATGCCTATTCATTTCCTATTCCTGCTCATGTTGGAGCACCACCTGCTTATAGAGGAGCTCCTGCTCCGGCTATGCTTTTTAATGGATCTTTCTATCCTTCCCAAATGCCCCATCCTTCTCAGCTTCAGCAGCAGCAGCAGCAACAACAACAGCCACCAACTCAGTCACAGCAAAGCCAACAAGTTCATCAAAATACAAGCATGTCCAGTGGTTCCTCGTCATCCCAGAAGCACGTACAGAACCAGCAGCAACGGTCGCATAGCAATGTTGTTAGTGGTGGTGCTGGAAATTTGCAAGTTTTTCCTGCCCCAAAAACCCAGTCATCTCAGCAATTACAGCCTCAGCAGCGACAGGGCCAGCATATTCCTCATCAATCCCGGCAACTTGATGGTGAAGTAGGAAGTGAGGATAGTCCATCTACTGTTAATAGTCGAGTGTCACTCACAAACATTAGCACTTATAATCAGAACTTTACCATGCAATTGCAGCCTCCAAACTTTGCCTTGATGAGTACCGCATCAATGGGTGGTTCAGGTACAAGTAATCAAGTTGATAAGAAGCAGCCACAGCCACAGTTACAGCAGCAGGGTTCCAAGGCTGGAGTTGAACCTCTTACATCTCCAGCTTTTGCTGTGTCATTTGCTTCGATTAATGGTGCTAATGCTCCAGGCCTGGACATCTCCTCCTTCACACAGAATCATTCTATTCTTCAGATTCCAGAGGCCACTAGGCAAAATTATCAGATTATGACCGCTGCTGCAGTTGCTGCCCAAGCGGCACAGCAGAAGAAGAATTTGAATGTTTCTGAAGAAGGCAAGCGGGGAACAAATGATACATCTAATGCCGAAGAAGAAAGGAAGTCCAATGCAGGAAATGTTTCAGCCACTGTTGGGCAGTCTATTGCATTCTCTAGACCAGATCTCCCTGATGCATCTGTTTCCCAAATACCTGGAAGTACAGTCATTGATAGCTCCACCCGAACCATTAATCATGGGTCTGCTTCTGCTAGGGGTTCAGGTTCTATTGTGCCAGCATCTATTGGCAATGTTAATGCTTCTAATGCTCAGCAGCAATCGCAGCGGAACCAGCATCAGATGCTTCAGTTTCAAAAGCAGCAGCAGCAACAGCAATATGTGGCTTCTGGTCGAAATAAAATGCCTGCAGCAAGTAATGGTAGTGCATATTCTGATCATAATCCCCCATCTTCTATGGCTTCCAAGTTTCATCCGTTTTCCCAAAATCTTGTTCAGAGCAGCAGCAGTCCAGCTCAATCTCCTCAGTGGAAGAATTCTGCAAGGACAACCCCTACACAGGTTCCTTCCCCATCTATGTCTTCAACATCATCATCTGCCAAAAACCTTTCACAACAAGGCCGGCCACAGCAGAGCCACACACACATATCTTTTGCATCTAGCCAAAAGTCAACTCAAGGACAACTACTTCCTAGTAGCACCCAGTCTCCATCGCCTCCTGTTATGGTTGGCTCTCCCACAACTTCATCAATATCCAAGAGTGCTGGTGGAAGCCCGAGGACCACAGGTTCTACTTCCACAGGCAACAAAGGGGGTCAGGCTTCTATGCTATCATCTCAGCAGGCAAAGAACTCACCATCAGTGCCCAGTCGGAAATCATCTCCTATTGGAGGGAGGAATGTGCCATCAATCCTCGGAAACTCCCATACTACTTCGTCCTTGAGTACTGGAACCAAGCCCCAAGTGGCACTACAGCAGCAGCAAAAACATCCATTGCAGCAACAACCACAACTGTTCTTCTCTAGTCCTTACATGCAAGCCCAAGTTCAGCAGCATTCAGGAACTACAACTTCAAGTGCAACTGCTGCGGGTGGATACTACCTTCAAAGACACCAAATTGAGCAACAGCAGCTGGCAAGCTCATTAACAGCATCGTCAATGCCAATGTTCTCATTGCGACCTGTTACTCTTTCCAGCACCAACACTTCTGATCCATCAAAGGCAGCTGCTGCTGGTAATGTGAAAGGTGGTGGCTTACCTTCCCAGGGACTTGTCCAATCTGCTCAATTTACCACTGTACAATCTTCTGGAAAGCCACATCAACTCATGCCTGCTGGCTTTCCTTATGTGAATGCTGTTCCTGCTGCTGTTCAACTAAAACCAGCGGACAAGAAGCAACCCGCAGGTGAGTAGAACTCTGTCCGATGATGCTTCACAATGCAGCCCCCTTCATGGACCAAAAATGATACACAGACTAAAAGATATTTGTTGGGGGTTGGAAATTTTTGAAGGGGACTCGGGTCTTTTTGTCGGGGCAAATGACAATTTGCATGCCCTTCTCGCAGCTTGAAGCAGATTTTATTGTTGTTAAATGGTTAATGGAAGCATTGTGAAGGGCAATGTTAATACCCACAATTTTGTGATGGAAGTACGAGGCAGTGGGCCAAATTGTTCATTATGGATAATGCTCGGTATGGTCATAACGTCTGTGTTCAGCAGATGTACATTGGTGTTTATGATCTGACTAGGTTGATCCCAAAGTCTATTTAAATTTGATTGGTTCAATGGGGTGGAGGTCCAGAAAAAGTTTGATCAAATGAGGGCAAGAGGATGAGGAGAGGAAGGAAGAAGACCTCTCACCTTTACTTAATCTTGGAGTTGTTATGGAGGTTCCTTCTCTTAATTCTTCTCTTGACTTTTTATTATTTTTTAGGTTTTCCTGAAAAAGAAGATCGGTAAACAATGTCTCTTTTTGACATATATATGCAACAGGGGTGTATATGTACATGTCTGGCACATATAAGAAGAGTAAAACCCTCTCAATCTTTTCATCGAACTCTCTCTATTTCGAATGCCCACGTTAACTTTCCTGCTTTCCACATAGAGTAGAGAGCTGGAATCATTAAACATTGAAATCTGAAGATGATTTGAGACTATTGTCAAAATGTTTGGTGTGTTGGTGATAAGGAGATAGATATTGTGTGCAAACAGAGATGAGATGTGGAGAAACAGGAGCCAAATATAGTTCTGCTCTGTTTCTTATATAGAGCTGAACGTGGGCCCCACTATATGCAGATTCCATAATTTTTTTTTTTTGGCTCTCTTTGGACAAAAGTGGGTTGCTGAAAAGGCGCGTCTCTTCGTTGTCAGTTTATTACACGTGGCTCGTGTCTATTTTTCAGACATGATGCTAAACTTTATTATACTATATTATCTACCCTATCTATTTCTATTCCCAACTCCTATTCCACCGCGATAATGGTGATGTCTTCAATTTTTTTTCCTTTTTTCAATTAATTGAAATATTT